TAAGCGCCGTATTATCTATACCGAGCGTATACTAGCTATATAAGAACGAAGCGCCGTATATAGGACGCGTAGGTAGCGCGCCTACCGAAGCAGGTCTAGGTCTACTACGCGTTCGTACGCGTAGCGCCCTTTCGCGTACCTCTAGTACTTCTTCTTATAGCCGGGAGCTATTACGCCGTTATAGGCGCGCTCGGCGACGCCGTTCGCGTCTACTACTATTAGATTAGGTTAGCGAAGAAACGTAGGTAAGGCGTACGCAACGCGTAGGTCTCGACGTACCCTTAAACATATACTCTATATAGTAGAGGCAAATATTATACGCTCTAGCCGCGGCGCGACCGCGACGTAGATCGCGCTCTAGAACGGGCTTCTTAGGCGCCTTTACGGCTATCGCGCGCTTCGGAGGTATATCTCGTATATATAGGTTACGAGGATAGTACGAAGAGCTTAGAGTTTTTTCCTAAAAAAAATAGTTTAGAGAAGAACTAAGGAACGAAGAAAAAGACGTAGCGTAGAGGACGAAATATACTTACTCGTTACTACTACCTATTACTAGGCGGGCTTTCTTCTATCGTATTCTACGTTCTATTAACTTCCTTACATTCTACTATATAGAATGCCCTAGGGTAACTACTAGGATTCCTAGTATAACGACTAGCCTCTATATAGAATGCGAGCATCTCCGTATACGCTCTATATACGCTCCGTATACGATACGTAGAATATATCGCTAGAGACAGCTCTATTAGGGAGAGGAGATAATTGTAATAGCTAGGCCTAGAGGTATATAGCCCTAGGGGGCGGTTAGGTATTTAAGCCTAAGGAACGTTAGCCTAAGGTAGGACGGGCTGTAGAAGCAGTACGATCCGAGTCGTCGGGCGATCGGCTATCGGGCGACCGCCCGCGCGGCGTAGCGCCTGCGTATACTTAGCGTAGGGGTATATTATACGACGCCGCTCTCTCCTTTCCGAAGGACAAGAATTAGTTTGTTCCTTTTCCTACGCGGTAGGAAGGACGCTCTATACATTACTATACATACCCTACTCTTATAACTATACCTACTTACCTAAGCCCTAGGCTCGTCCGGAATAACTAGAATAACCCCTTTAGGAGGTTCTTTATAAAGCTATTAGCTCGCTGTTTTGCTGTTCTAATCTATTTAACGGTTAACCTTCCTACTATAGTTTCCTGCCTTACCTAGTATTAATAGATATTAATATGCCTCAAAGCCGTATTAAGTAAACTATACTTGTAATTAGCGATATCTACAGCTCGTTAGTTGTTACAGAAAACCTTGGTTCTACCTATAGTTCTATCCTTAATAGGTTCCTTAGATAGCTTATTTCTAGGTAGAGGTAGAAATACCTTGTCAAATTCCGAGAAAAGTCGAGTCTACTAGTACCTATTACCTGCAATTAATAAGAGTACTAATAACTCTACCTCTGCAGTTAATTTAGTAACTGTCTTCTGCTTAGTTGCTTGCTAATTAATAGTACTACTATACATTATTATTAAGAATCCCTATAAACTCTTCCTATCTAGGTTGTTACTAAATAAGGCATCTATATACAGTTCTATCTTAGGCTTCTCCCTATAGAAGTAGAGCTTTATCTCTCTAGTACTATATAGGTAAGTAAGCAGGTAATTAGTAGCGTCTATATAAGCCTAGCTTAGGTTTTTCAAGAATTGAAAAAGAGTAGTATATACTTTTGCTATATTAGGGCGTACCAAAATAGTAGTATAACTAATAGAACCAATCTTTATCTAATACCCTTTAATAAAGTCAGGCCTAGTAGTATTAGTAGTAGGCTCTAGGTTTCTAGTAGGAAGTAGTGTCTCTAGAAATCGAGTCCTCTTATAAACCCTAAATTTAATGCTAATTTTTGTTAGGTAGGCAGTCTAGCTTAGAGTTAGGATATTAGGTAATTCCTCTACCTCTGTACCTAGGAAGAAGGTAGGGTCCTTCTAAGTAACCTCAAAGTTAGAAAGTAGGTACTAGTTAAACAGGATAGCTTGATCCTCCCTATCCCTCTTATAAATCAACCTAATATTATCTATATAGAATATTATAAGTAGGCGGAGATCTATATTTACTATTAAGTAGTTAATTCTAGGAACTAACTCAAATCTATAGTCTTCTATTCTTATAATAAATAGGTTATACTACAAGCGAGGTAATTTAGCTAATCTATAGAGAGCTTTCTTAAGGATAAAGTAGGCATCTAGACTAAATCTATATTCCTCTATTCCTTCTAGGATAGAACAGTACACTGTATATAGGATAGTAGTATTTAGGAAGGCATTTACTATATCCTATTGCCTAGTTTTCAGATTCCTTATAAAGGCTAGGGTAGTAATAGCCCTAAATACCTTATAACTAAGTATAGTAGTATAGGTTTTATAGGTTAATAGCAATTGAAGATCCCTACGGATATAGAGCCTAGCTTTGTACCTAAGAATCTTACTAGTTAAGGGGTCTGTTTTATAAGCAAATACCTAGACTAATAGTACCTTATAGCCTTTATAACTAAAGAATACCCTGAATATCCTCTTGCCTATAAGCTTTCTAGCTTTATTAAATGCTGCTTGCTTAAACTATTAATAATAGATATACCTTTCTATCTCTTTCTAATTGGTAGGGGGTAATAGTAAGCTTATTACTTAATAAGGATCCTTAAGAGTAGGTAGATTATAAGCCTTAAGGGAAGTAGCAGCTATACAACTTAACTTATCTAGGTAATCTTCTAACCGTCTAGTTCTATAGTCGATCTATCGTCTATAGTTGTCTATACTGTACTAATAAGTACTCTCTTCTACCTCCCTATCTAAGGTAGGGTACTAATAAGAGGCCGAAAAAGCAGAGGGTAATAATAAAGCGGATATACCCGGTAAGGCCCCCGGGGCCTAACCAACTTAGTTAGCAGCTATATTGTCCTTATCTCTAGCGGGCGTTTCCGGCGGCGTTAGGTATAATGACTATTTACTACCTCCCTAAGGTTAGATAGCAAAAGTTAGAATATTGGTAGCTAGAAAGAGGTTATCTATACCCTTACTTATTAATTTCTTAGGCATTAAGATTAAATTAATTACAGTCTAGTAAATAGCCGTAGGAACTAACTCTCTAAGTGTCTACCTATTGATATCTAGCGGATTGTATTTCTTATTATCCTTAAATACTACATTTCGTATCCTAATTACCTTGTTTAGGGGTAAAGGAATCTAGATCTAAAAAATATTAGTAGAGGTATACCTAATTAGGTACCTAATATAAGCTCTCTCTTCTATCTTGTATCTCTTAGCAATGTCTTTGCGGAGAGCGAAGGCCTTGTACCTAATAGGGTAGAGATAGCTAAGGAAGGGTTTCTTAGTAGTAACTTTCTTAAATAGAGTTATCTAGTTAAGTTTGGTAGTAGGGGTCCTATTAAGTAGGTAAACAGCTAAATCTATAAGCTATAGCTAAAGGTTCTTAGGCAAATAGCTATTAATTCTAAGAGTCCTAGATTTAGTAACAATCTCTCTTCTAGTAACCTTACTTACTCTATTCTAGGCAGGGGTATTAGCAGTAGTAGGCAAAGTAGTAATACCTAACCTAGAGATAGCTTTTCTAGTATCCTTCCTAATAGTAGCCTCTATATTAGAGCGAACTAGAATAGTTTTAGTATTAAAGGTCACTTCTATCCTTTTGAAGTGTCCTAGAAACTTAGCAACTACTTATAGTTTGGTCGCTACAGGCTTACTAATATAATAGCCCTCTTAGTTATAGAACTAGTAGCTATAAAACTTAAAGACTAATTTATTTAGTCTAGGAAGAGAAGGGGTTATATTAATAAGATCCTATAAACAGATAGCTATCTTAGTATTCTCTGCCTTAGGCAGCACTTCTCTATACTTGTCTTTCCTCCTTGAAATTACTGCTTTAGCCTTGGCTAGTATATAGGTATTATAATTAATACTGTTTAGAGTCTCCTTTTCTAACTTAATTACCTAGTATCCCTTAGATACAGGTTCTAAGTACTTAATAGCCCTTATAGATAGATAGCCTAGTAACTAATACTACTAATTAGCCGTTACTGTTAAAGGTAGGAGTAGTTAGTAACTAGATTGTATAGTAGCAGCAGATCTAGTATCTATTCTAGCAGGTAACGTTAAGGCAGGTAAGGTTGACTTCCCCGTATTCTTAGAGTATAGGGTATATACTAACTTTACCTCCTTAATTCTAGTAGTTCTAGCAATACTCTCTATTGTAGGTAACCTTTCAATAATCTAGTAACCGTATCTGTCGTTACTATGTTTAGGGGTAAAGTATACCTAGAGCCTAGGTTCCTTATAAGGTTGGCTAGTAATCAATCTATTAGGCTAGTTGTAAGAGTAGGGTATATATAGTAATGTATAGAGCGTCCTTCCTACCGCGTAGGAAAAGGAACAAACTAATTCTTATCCTTCGGAAAGGAGAGAGCGGCGTCGTATAATATACCCCTACGCTAAGTATACGTAGGCGCTACGCCGCGCGGGCGGTCGCCCGATAGCCGATCGCCCGACGACTCGGATCATACTACTTCTACAGCCCGTCCTACCTTAGGCTAACGTTCCTTAGGCTTAAATACCTAACCGCCCCCTAGGGCTATATACCTCTAGGCCTAGCTATTACAATTATCTCCTCTCCCTAATAGAGCTGTCCCTAGCGATATATTCTATATATCGTATACGGAGTATATATAGAGCGTATACGGAGATACTCGTATTCTATATAGAGGCTAGTCGTTATACTAGGAATCCTAGTAGTTACCCTAGGGCATTCTATATAGTAGAATGTAAGGAAGTTAATAGAACGTAGAATACGATAGAAGAAAGCCCGCCTAGCAATAGGTAGTAGCAACGAGTAAGTATATTTCGTCCTCTACGCTACGTCTTTTCTTCGTTCCTTAGTTCTTCTCTAAACTATTTTTTTAGGAAAAACTCCAAGCTCTTCGTACTATCCTCGTAACCTATATATACGAGATATGCCTCCGAAGCGCGCGATAGCCGCAAAGGCGCCCGAGAAGCCCGTCCTAGAGCGCGATCCGCGTCGCGGTCGCGCCGCGGCTAGAGCGTACAATATTTACCTCCGCTATATAGAGGCTATAGAGCATATGTTTAAGGGTACGTCGAGACCTACGCGTTACGTACGCCTTACCTACGTTTCTTCGCTAACCTAATCTAATAGTAGTAGACGCGAACGGCGTCGCCGAGCGCGCCTACAACGGCGTAATAGCTCCCGGCCGTAAGAAGAAGTGCTAGAGGTACGCGAAAGGGCGCTACGCGTACGAGCGCGTAGTAGACCTAGACCTACTTCGGCAGGCGCGCTACCTACGCGTCCTACGCGCGGCGCTTCGTTCTTATATAGCCGGTATACGCTCGGTATAGGTAATACGGCGCTTGTAGCGGCTAGGGGGTAAGATTCTAGAGAGCAAGAAGGTACTTGCCTCTAATAAGGGCAAGGCCGTCGGCGTCTACGAGACGCCGAAGAAGGGTAGTAGTAGTAGTATAGCTAGCGCGCCGGCGTCGAGCGCCCTAGCCGTAGCCGACTACCTAGAGATAGCGAAAGCTACCTCTGCTCTTTAGGGTATCTTTAAGCTATAGTACGAGGTAAGTTCTATCGCTTCGTACCCTACTCGTAGGCGTCGCTAACGTCTGTCGTAGATAGCTCGCTTAGCCGGCGCTACCGGTACTACCTTAGATAGCGCGGTAGCGACCGCGTATCCCGATTACGGTAGCTAGGAGCCGTACCTATCGGACGGCGAGGAGGAGATAAGCCTACCTAGCGATAGTAACGACGACGACGACGACGACGACGCCGGTAACGGTGCCGGTCCTACCGTTCCTCCTATTAGCCCTACTCCTACTGCTCCCTCTTCTAGTACTACTAGTGCCGGTAGTACCGCGGGTACCTAGCCCTCTCGTCGCGTTCGGTTAGCCTGCGTTTCTAGTACGCTACGTATAGGTTTTGGTATTTTTGTTTTTGTATATAGTATTCCCGGCTTAGCCGGTTAAAAGCAAATTAATTCTTAATCTCTCTACCTACGTCTCGCTCGTACTATACTACTACGTTTCCGCTACGCTTCGAACTCGTCGAGGGCGGCGTACTTACTAATATACTCTTTAGGTTCCTATTAATCAAATTCCTCGGGCTAGCTACGCTAGCGTACTAAGTACTATCGGATACCCTTCCTTAGGCGCGTATCTAAGATCTTTTCTACCTTATAGAGTCCTTCTTTATCGGCGAGTAGGAGGGTTCCCTCCTACGCGTTACCTACGTAGCCCTTATAGGGCTCGAGATATAAGACGTAGAAGACGTTATAGATCTACGATCCTGCTAGTAGGGCTAGGCGGTACGCCTGCTTCCCTACGATGTCGATTACCTTAAATAGCCCTACGAACTTATCTGTAAACTTTTTCGTAGGCACCTTTAATCTTAGGTTCTTAGTAGACAGTAGTACTATATCCCCTACCTTAAACCCTATTATAGTATACTTCGCGTTAAAGTACTTCGCCTACGCTTTACTAGCGCGTTGCTAGCGCTTACTTAGAGTTTCGTAGTTCCGTTTCAGTCTCTCTATAGCGTCTACTACAGCCGGTACCTCCCTCTCCGTAAGCTCGCCCCGAGCGTTATATATACTTGTCGCTAGCTCCGGGTTGAAACTATATAGTGCCTTAAATAGTAATATCTTTAGGACGGCGTAATCGCTGTTATTATACGCGAATTCCGCTTATATAAGCATACTAGCCTAATCGTCCTACTGCTCTAAGTAGTAGATACGTAGATATGTCTCGATTACCTAGTTTATCTATTCGGTTTGACCGTCGGTTTGCGCGTAGAACGCTATACTAAGCCTACGTTTTACCTACGCCTTATAGCAGAAGTCTAACTAGAACTAGCTCGTAAATACCGAGCCTCTATCGCTTACGATACCTGCGGGTATACCGAACTGTCGTACGATTTCGTTTACTAGAATGTCTACTAGGTCTACGCTAGTATATTTCTTCGTAGTTAGTACGAAGGTTACTATTTTAGTATACCTGTCGACGATTACGAGGATCGTATCGTAGACGCGGTCGCCGCGCTTGCTTAGCGGTAGGTCCGTAATAAAGTCCTAGGTCAATTCTTAGAACGGCCTTTCTAGTATTAGTAGCGTAGCTAGTTCGCTGTATAGACGGTAGCGTCGCGCTTTCGACTTTTAACAGGCGTTATAGGTAGCGACGTATTCTGCTACCTCGGTAGCTATTCCCGGCTACGAGTACTTTCTCCGGATTAAAGCCGTTGTCTTATCCTTTCCGAAGTGCCCTACTAACGGGTCGTTATAGTATATACGTATTAGCTACGCCCTAAGTACGTAGTCCTTAGGCATATATAGCGCGTCGCCGACCTATAGGTTGCCTTCTTAGGCGACGTATTCCTCGAATACGCCCTAGTTGCTTATCGCCTGCTCGTATACTATACGTATATTAGGCTCTACCTAGACGAGTACGCGGGTATATATTAGAATCAAGTCGGAGACGTTTGCGTACGGCTATTCGTCCTTAGATACAACTTAGGCAACGCGGATAGGCGACGTATAGTACTACTATAGGTTAGCGTTAGTACCTCTCTTAACGCTATAGTATAAACGATCGCTAGTAATACGGATACGTAAATTGTAATACCTTCGGGCTGTCTACTTCTAATATACGTCCGTCCTATAGCTATAGCTTAGTTTATAGGGTAGGGAGGAGATTAGTTACCTTACGCGACTTACGTACGTAATCGCTACGTCGCGACGGACCGTCGGCTAGGTTTCGCTTGCCTGCCTAGTAGGTAATAGTAAAATCGAAAGCTACTAGGAATATCGCCTAACGGGCCTATCGACCCGTAAGTTTCTTTACGCCTATAAAGCCTCTTAAATTAGCGTAGTCGACGAGCACCTTAACCGTATACTAGGCGCCTTCGTAGTATAGCCGCCAAGCTTTGAATAATTCGACTACCGCTAATAATTCCGAGTCGTATATCTCGTAATTACATTCTACAGGGATTATCTTACGGGAGTAGAAAGCGATAGAGTACTATTTAGAGCCGAAGAGTTAGCTTAGGATACCTACGATAGCAAACGCCGAGGCGTCGCTTTCGATACGTAGCCGCAACGCCGAGGCGTCGCTTTCGATACGTAGCCGCAACGCCGGGTCAAAATGCCTTAATAGGGGTGCTTACTAGAAACGCCGCTTAATCTCTTGAAATGTATACTCTTCGGCTGCGCCCTACTAGATCGGTCCTAGCTTCCTGCCTTTTACGGCTCCCTTTGATAGTACCGTTAAGGGTACTATAATCCTCGAGTACTTAAAGATAAATCTACGATAAAAATTCGCAAATCCTAGAAAGGACTACACCTCTGTTAAGGTAGTTAGTATTAGCTACGCTCCGATTGCGTCTACCCTACGAGGGTCTATCTTTATACCGCCGGGGGTTACGACGAACCCGAGGTAATCGACCTCCTTTATAAAGAATTTGTACTTTGCGCGCTACGTATAGAGTACGAATTTGCGGAGCCTCTTAAGTACTTTGCGTATATCCTTTATATACTGCTCGCGTATCTTGCTATAGATAAGGATATCGTCGAGGTATACTATATAGGTAATATTAACTAGTCCTACTAGAGCTCGGTTAATATACGTCTAGAACGTCGCCGGGGCGTTAGTTAGACCGAAAGGTATAACCTTATACTAGAAGTAACCGTAGCGCGTACGGAACGTAGTCTTCTAGCAGTCGCTTTCCTTAATCTTAATACGGTAGTAGGCATCGGCCAAGTCTAGGCACGTAAACTATTCGGCTCCTATAAGCCTGTCTAGCGTTTCGCCTATAAGGGGTAGGGGGTGCCGGTTTTTTACCGTAATTTCGTTTAGGCCGCGATAGTCTACGTATAGTCGTAGTAAACTATCCTTCTTTAGTACGAATAGCACCGGCGCGCCTGCTTTACTTATACTAGTCTCAATCTAGTCGTGTTCTAGTACGTTAGTAATATATTTGTATAGGTACTTAAGTTTAGCGCCGGACTAGTAGTACAACGGTCGAAACGGTAGAACGGTGCCTAGCCGTAGGTCGATCGTATACTCTACGCCGTCTACTAGTTTGCTACGCTATTCGTCTATAGGAAACAAGACGTCGTAGTAGTCCCGATATTCTATCGGCAACTCCGTAAGCTCTAACCCTACGTCTGTCCTACGTACTATTACTATATATATATAGGACGAGTTCTTTAGGTCCTTAAAGAAATCCGGTACCTCTCGGACTTTAACGTACAAGTACTCGCTACCGTAGCGCTATTCGTCGGTAGTACTGTCTACTACTACTTACTAGGTACGGCGCTACGGCGGTACGGCCGCCCTAGGATAAGATTAGGTTCCGGCGTATTATAGGTATAAAACAAGCCGCCTATCGTACGCTCGTTACCCGCGGAGTCTACGAGGGTTATACAGATATAGTACGCTCCGTACTCCGTAGTAGTAGCCTAACTAGCCTATAAACGAGCTCGCCGGCGGTAGGAGTATATTCCTATAGACCGCGAGATTGTACTTTAGTACAAAGCTACGCGATACTACGTTAATATTAGCGGCATCGTCGAGTAGTATAGTAGTAGGGGTATACCCCTTATACGTCTCGACTTATCCTTCGAGGATACGAATATAGTATACCTAGATAGGCAAAGGTATGTCGCCGTTAAGATTAGTATCTAGAGATTACGACTCTCCTCTAATACCTTCTCTTTTTTCGACGCTTGCTCTTTAGGTACGGTAACCCTACGAACCGTATTCGCCTTATCGCGGCTTACGTAGTTAGGGTATACGGAGTCGGTCGCGATATGTCCCTTCTTCTTATAGGAGTAATACTCTAGGTTCTCGTACCCGCGTACTGTCGACGGCGTTGTAGTCGATAAGGTACGCCCGTCGCGTAGGACCCTGCTCTTGCTACGATCCTATCGATCGTAGTTTCGCGGTACGTCGCTCTCGGTACGCTTGCGTTTGCCCTACGCGCTATAGTCGCGCTAATAGGGCTCGTCCTTAGTACGGACTGCTAGGGCGTTGTCTACTTATTCTAGGCGCCTTACTAGGTTTACGAGCTCTACTCGCGTATTAGGGATAGTATATCCCTTAACGATATCCCTACGTAGCGACGGCTTTAACTTTACGAGGAAGTAGCGTATTAGCTACGCTTACGTATAGTCAAACTAGGCTTCTAGATAACTAAGCTACGCTACGAAATAACGGACGCTCTAGTCCGGGCCTTAACGTACCCTTTTATACTCGATTATTACGCCGATCTAACGGTTCGACTAATCGCCGACGGTATTATAGAGCTATCCCTTAAATTCCTCCTAAGTATAGTCCTCGGGGATTATATCGGAATACTCGTCGTACTATATCTCCTACGCTTCGCCTACGAGCTATATAATACTATATAGGACCTTGTCTTAGTCAGTTCGATATTCTCGGAGAGCGCTAAGGAATACGACCTCGAGGTACCTAATAAAGTTACGATATTCCTTATCGGTGTCTTCTTTAAACGGCTTAGGTTCTCGAATCTTAGGGCCTCTATATAGGGAGTAGATACGCGACGGGTTCGTAGCCTACCTACGTACGTTATATAGGTCCGTCGACCTAAGGTCTTCCTCGAGTCCGTCGAGAAGATCGGGCTCGGTATCGTCGTCGTCTATAGTAACTATAACGGCTAGGGTTAGTACTCGGCCCTAAATTTGCTCCTATAGACGTTAGTTTTCCCTCTCGAGGGCCTGAACTTCTAACTCTATATAGAGACGCTAATTTGCCTCCTCGAGCTGTATATATCTAGTATACGGGTCGACTACGTAGGCCTCCGGCTAGATAGGAGCCTCCTCGAAAGGAGTCTCCTCTAGGTTCCTATCTGTCTAGGTATTTGTAGAGCCCGATACCGTCTCCTCGGAAGGTTAGGCATCCTCGTCTACTTCGCCGATAACGCGGCCCGCCTACGCTATAGCTACGGCGCGGTCGCGTTGCTATCGTAGGGCTATCGGACCTCTATAGATTACTACTCTTTAGAAGGATAGAAGAATTAGAAATATAAGAGTAGGGTATATATAGTAATATATAGAGCGTCCTTCCTACTGCGTAGGAAAAGGAACAAACTAATTCTTATCCTTCGGAAAGGAGAGAGCGGCGTCGTATAATATACCCCTACGCTAAGTATACGTAGGCGCTACGCCGCGCGGGCGGTCGCCCGATAGCCGATCGCCCGACGACTCGGATTGTACTACTTCTACAGCCCGTCCTGCCTTAGACTAACGTACCTTAGGCTCAAATACCTAACCGCCCCCTAGGGCTATATGCCTCTAGGCCTAGCTGTTATACTAGTTTCTAGTATTATAGTAAATACCCTTTTTGTTAAGGATCTATAGTAAGACCAAACTTATAAAGAATCCCGGAATAAGCCTTGCCTTAAGAAGAGTAAGCTTCCTAGTAACTCTATTACCTATATCTAGGTTAATAGTAGTATCAACAATTGCCTTAGGTTTGTACCTCTTATCCCTAGAAATTACTGTATTAGAGGAGGTAGGTAACTCAGACTTGATAATCCTTGCCCTTATAGATTCGTTAATAATATAAACATTAGTACTACTATCTAGAATTACTATGTTATAGAGCCGGGTATAACTAATTAATCTAACAGATACCTTAGGGGTCGATCCTAGGGTAGAACTTAATTCTAGGGTAGTAGCAGCAGCAGTGTCCTTAACCTCTACGGCTATATCTAACTTGTTCTTAGTGTCTTTGTCCTTCGACCCTTAACCTTAAGTAGTATTATAAGCTTAAATCGCTTTGTTTACTCTCTCTTTTAGGTTCTTGTCCTCCTTAAACTTCTTCTTAATCTTCCTCTTAATATCCTCTCTTAGCTTCTATACCTTAGGCCTCGGATACTCGGCATTAAGGTAGTAGTATTCCTTCTATATATAGTTCCTACTACAGATATAGGGCTTGGTTAGTCTTAAGGAGGAGGATAATCGGTTTAAGGACGAAGACAAAGATTCGGTTACAGTAGCAGATAAGATACTAGCAATAGTAGTTCTATGCTTGCTCTTGAATTTAGTGTCTCTATTATACTAAAAGTAGGACTACTAGGCTCTTAATTCTAAATAGAGAGTAGTTACTTCCCTATCCTTATTCTGCTTATCTAGCAACCTACCTGTCCTAGTAGTAATATAATCTCTATAGAGTAGAGATATAGAAGTAAGCTATGCCTAGGTTGCTTTATTGTCTGTTTGCTTACTAATTGTATCTCTTCTACTATACTAATTGAACTAAAGGTACATATAGTTAGGAATAGACTTTCTATATAGTAGAAGAGTTAGGGTTTCTAACTCTTTCTTTAACAACTAAGTAGTAGCAAGGGTATTAGGCTTAGTGTATTCTAAGAGCTTCTTAAGCTTCTCTCTTAGAGTCTTGCAATTAATTATCCTATACTAGAGGTCTATAGAGATAGACTAGTTAATAATTGTTAAGAGTTTCTAGTACCCTTTCTACTTCTTAGACTATACTTCCTTTAGATACCTATAAGTGTATTAAGCAGTACTGAATTGGATAGAGGTAGTAGTCTTAGTAATTACAAAGGTAAATAGTAGAGAGTCCCTAAGTTAGACTAGGTTTGATAGATCTAGCTTATTAGTACTAGGGTCGATATCCTCCTATATTCTGTAATTTCCTACTTTAATCTTAATATAGGTAATCTAGACGTTCTAGTCCTACTAGGTACGCAGCTTAGCAATCGACGTCGTCGTTAAGGGTTTAGAAGAATCAGCTATAGTATCTTCGTTGAACTCGTTAATCTACTCTAGAATAGCTTAATTCCTAGGATACGAGCCGCTAGGTGTCTCTCCTTCTAATATAAGTTGATCTAATAGGCTCTAGCTTTCTTCTCTTCTGCTAGATAAGCGGGTTTGGGCCGGCATTTAAGTAATAGTATACGGTCCTCGGGTTGTTGTCTTAATATAGCGGATTTCGACTAATCTTAGTTGATTCTAGGAGATATCTAGTAACTAATTGATTCTTTTGATTGATCAAACAGAGCTAGCCGGGCTTATAACTGTTAGAACTATATACTATACTAGCCTAATTAAGATAGAGATAAAGCCGTACTAACCGAAAAGTAGGTTCAATTAATATATAGGTCTAACCTATTAAGAAGAGAAAAGTAAGGGGGGTAGGTATCCCTAACTCTACCTACAAACGCCAAGGAATAAATGGCCCCTAATATCTCACATAACTTATATCACATAATGCTAGGGCACCCATATCCTTCTGTCCAAACATATCCACTCATATCAGCCCACAAATTCGGAAACGGGTCCCGCCTCAACGGCCCCCACCGCTGCCCTCCCACCATTTCACATGCCAATAATGATACATTGATACCACTTCGCATACCCCATGTTGAAGAGTCGACTCGTGCCCAGCATCCCTCTCTTGTTCCCATCTACCACTCACGCATCTCCCCTTGTGCGTCGCTCACTCGCCACCATCATGGCGCCCACAGGTAGCCGACCTCCATTCACCACCACCATCACCACCACCACTACTACCACCTGCCACCATACACCTCACCCAGAACCCTGACTCGCGAACCAGACTCCAAACCTCGACCGATCGTAGTTTCTGGTCCCTCCGGCTCCGGCAAATCCACCCTCATCAAGCGTCTGCGCGCTGCCTATCCCGATCGCTTCGCGCTTTCCGTTTCCCACACCACACGCGACCCACGAGCCGGCGAGGAACATGGCAAGGACTACTGGTATGTGTCCAAGGACGAGTTCAAGAAGAAAGTCGACGAGAACGGCTTCATCGAGCATGCTCAGTTTGGCAGCAACTTCTATGGAACGAGTGTACAGGCTGTGAAGGATGTGGCCGAGCAGGGAAGAACCTGTATTTTGGATATTGAAATGGAGGTGAGTGTCTGCGTGCGTGGCTGCCACATGCTCTTTCCCAGCGCAAGTGGTGTGGTGTACAAGGAGATGCTCAGACTCACGGCACTATGAATACAGGGCGTGAAGCAAGTCAAGAAGACCGACTTGAACGCACGATACCTCTTCCTGCAGCCACCTTCAGTCGAGATCCTGGAGAAGCGACTGCGAGGTCGAGCGACCGACAAGGAAGAAGCAATCCAGCAGCGCTTGACTCAAGCTGCAGTCGAAATTGAGTATTCCAAGACTCCAGGCGTGCATGACCAGATCATTGTCAATGACGACCTTGAAAAGGCCTGGAAGGAGTTCGAGGCATTCTGCGTGCCGGAATCAGCCTCTTCATCATGAGCAGCGCTACGCTACAGCTAGTAGACTCCAGGCAGATGATACAGAATATTATCTCTCGACAACAGACGGAGCGATTAGATGACTACGAAAGGCTGTCTTCCTGCTTCCGATACTGAAGATCCATGATCCCGACGATGCGTTTACTCGCTCCTGCTCCCATATACATTTATGTCGAGTCACCAGACACACACAAACTCCTATACAATTTGGCTAATGACTCTTTCTCCTAGTCGAGTTTTCATTTTGCGCCGACGGCAAGGGGCAGAAGCCTAGAGTCATACTCCATTCAAGTCCTTCATTTACACGCCAGATGCTAATGAGAACAATCGCGAAATCAACGTATACTTTTTTTTTCATTCTGGCTAATCTCCACCGCTACGTCTCCATTCGGGTCCCCTGGAAAACGCATGAGCCCAAAGAAACGCGGCATGGTGGAGTCCCGAGCTGTCGACATAGTCTTTGGTACCTGTGGGGGTGCAATCCGGGGGAGATTCCCATTGACAAATTGATTCAACATTGACGACATTCTTCTAAACTTCCGGCTCCTGGTGCCCCTATATTGCCTCCGGCCTCTTTTGGGATAGTGCGGGCAAGCTTGACGGGAGACACTAACGAAACTTCCTGAGGCAGCTGGAAAGCATCAGGGATCCCCTCTGTTCATCTCGTTGTGAACTGTTCTGGCGGAACGAAGTTTTGCTGTGACCAGCCTGAACTACACTACTGGTGCTTATCGCCCTGCACGCGAACTCATGTGTATACATGGTACCAGGTGCCAGTGCGCAAGTCAATTGTATAGACTTTTGCGCGTGTTATCGCTACGTCCCAGGCCGTATCTACACCACCAGAGCTCATGCGGTTCATTTATCTTGACACCGCCGCCCATGTGCCGTTCACCTGTTGCAGCTTGTTGGAGCTTGGTGCAGAGTGCGTCTTCCAACAACAATGACACAAGCCTCGTTACGATCAGCCTTGTTGCTGGTTGGCTGGATATGGACACTCTCTGCGTCTGCTTCACAAACAGATGAGAGAGTGGCAGGCTCAGGCTTCATTGGCTATGGTACGTGTGGCACTCGCATTCTGGGATCTGAGTGACTACCAATTAACGATGGCAGGAATCACGATGTAAGTGCATGGCTTCGCCAGGCGATACGATGGAGTCGAATGTTGTCTGCATTCTGCGCACCTGCTAGGACGACGGGACTGTGAATTGACTGACTGGGCCATTCATAAGGTACAAACCACCTTGCGCGCAGGCATGTAGGGACTCAGTATCCCCATATTCGCTCAACTGCAACGATACAAATCCCAGCCATATGGAGAAGAGGCATCATCCTGCAAAAGAGACTCCCGAATGCTACGCCAACAACGATCGATTCCTCCAGTCTGTTGCGTACTGCATCTCCCAGCATTGTCAGGATGTGGAGATATGGAAAATTGAGCGGTGGTGGACGACAAAGATGCCAGGTACCAAGCCAGGACAGCCCGAGCCCAAGGAGTCTTATCAACAAACCCTGGCCCGAGTGATGACGCCACCCAATGTGACAATACCTACCGACCAGGTGCTGATGGATGAGAACACACTGGTTGACGAGGAGACGTGGCTGGCTCATTATAATAGTGATCTTATTTTTGAGAAGAATGAAGCCACACACGTTCGCTATGGGTACGATGCGACTGGTCGCTCTTCGGCTTTGATTCTGAGCTAACAACATCACCTAGTCTGGTTCTACTCACGACCGGCGCTGCGCTTCCAATTGCCCTCTCGCTGTTGCGGTTCGTTCCATTTCCCAGACCATTCGTCAGCCGCTTCAAGGCTCGGTTCATCGATCCGCCCGCGTTTGGCGGAAATCACAACACTCCCTGGCTCAAGACCTTCATCGTACCTACTCGTGGCCAGGCCTTATTCATTGCGTATCTCTGGATAATCAATGTCATTCTCTGCTCCGTTGGTTACGAGAGCAGACGACCAAACTCTGGATACGAGACGAGGGGGTTGGAGATTGCGACCTACATCTCTTATCGCACTGGAGTGCTTAGCTTTTCCAACTTCGTCCTTTTTGTACTCTACGCGGGACGTAACAATGTCTTGATCTGGGTCACCAGTTGGTCTCACGGGACCTTTGTGCTTCTACATCGATGGCTAGCTGTCATTTGCACCGTGGAAGCATGCGTACATTCCGCCCTCCTATTGCATATCTACTCTACTAATCCGATCACATTCGACTACGCGAAAGAAACCACGAGTTCATATTGGTACTGGGGCGTCGTCGCCACGATTGGTATGTGCGTAATACTCGCAACATCCATCTTGCCCATTCGACAGAAAATCTACGAAATCTTCGTAACATGGCATATCATCGCCGCTTTCATCGTTCTGATGGCCGCCTACTGGCATGTGGTCGAGGCCTTTGGTCACCAATGGGGCTACGAGACCTGGATCATCATTGCATTTGGTTGTTGGGGTTTCGATCGTCTGATGCGGATTGTTCGCATTGCGAAAAATGGTGTTCGGACAGCAACAATCACCGTCATTGATGAGGATTATATCCGCCTTGACATTCTTGGCGTGACAGCATCGGGATCCGCTTACTTGTACTTTCCGACCTTGACCTGGCGTGTCTGGAAGAACCACCCCTTCTCGGTTGCCATCTCGATCGCGCACACTGCCCATAATGCCTCGCGTCGCCTCTCGGAGATGAGCTTGCCGTCTGCTGTGGTACAGGCCTCGGAGAAGTTAAAAGCACCCGAAATCCAGTCTTCCAGCACAGATCGCGGCACCTCTCCCATCGACTCCGCGAGACTGAATCGTTCGCAGCAGCCACCTCTCCAGGTGGGACTCAGCTTCTTCATCCGCACCCACAAAGGCACCACCCCCATGCTCCGCACCCGGAAGACCTTGCCTGTCCTCATCGAGAGCTCTTACGGCCATAACGTCTTTGGCGACTACGGCGGCGGCAATCTCGCAGCCTACCCCAATCTCATCTGCATCGTCGGTGGAATCGGCATCACCGCCATCCTCCCCTTTCTGGCCGGTCATATCGGACGTACCAAGCTCTACTGGGGAGTGAGTAAAGCGCCACTCGTGGAGGCTTTGCACGACACGCTCGCGGAGCCGGCGTTTGCGGGCGTCGAAGTCGAAGTGACGACGGGTCAACGTATGAATTTGCAGGCGATTTTGCACAAGGAAATCCGAGCGGATGCGGGCGCGGGGACGATGATTGTGGTGAGTGGACCGAGTGGGATGGCGGATCGAGTGAGACTTTTGACGAGTAAATATGCGGCGGAAGAAAGGGGGGCGGTGATTGCGTTTGTGCAGGAGAGTTATAGTTTGTAGTGGGGGGAGTGGCAGTATTTTTCTTTTTAATTCGGGTGATGGGTAAGGTAGCTGGGAAGGTAGTCATCATTGTTATCATCATCATCATCATCATCATCATCACGGCCTGGAAGAGGGAGAAGGAGGAGGAGGAGGAGGAAGAGGAGGAGGAGGAGACTGGAAGGCTCTATGAATAGTATCGAAGTCCTTAATACCATTGATTCGTCTCCGTTCTTTTCTTCTGCTCTCAGTCAACCAAGCAAGCTTGTGCTAGGAAGTAGTCCTGACTTATTAGCATAGACAGAAGCACTACCGTGATTGATAAACAATAACGAACGGCAAACAAACCTAAGGAGCTCGGACTTGCATTTCGTATAAGAGCAATGTATATTATCTGTTAAATGTTGGCGCTATTACTGACAACAAGATGTAGGAGGTATTGAAGAAGATATGGTGACGATGGGGGGAGAATTGTTCAGCCACATCTCACCTTTGCGAGCTCCATGTACCGAGGCCCAAGGTTAAGTTAGTTCGACGATCTACATGTAAATTTGGGACCATATCTCAACTCCATCTCCTCCATCTACTTTTAACTCTTCATCTCCATCATCATCAATTTATATCATTCAAATCATCATTTCTACTCTCCCAGTATACGAGAAAATTTCCAAAGAAAAAGAAAGACTCAGTCAGGTACAATGGCCCACGCATCCACCTCCGCCAACCTAAGCGTATCCCGTCTCTTCGACTTTAGCAAACATGTCGTCCTCGTCACAGGCGGAGCCACCGGTCTCGGCGAAATGGCGGCGCAAGCATTTATTCAAAATGGAGCATATGTTCTCATTGCGAGTCGGAAGAAGAGCGCTTTGGAAGAAACTGCGAAGCGATTGAATCAACTCGGTCCCGGGAAATGTGATTATATTGTCGCGGATTTGAAGGATAAAGCGGGTTGTTTGGCGTTGTGTGAGGAGGTGAAGAAGAAGACGGATCGACTTACTGTGTTGTTGAATAATAGTGGTGCGACTTGGGTTCGTGGTGACTTTTTTTTTTTTTGTTTTTCTTTTTGTTTTTGTTTTTGATTTTGATTATCTTCCCTTTCGGCATGCCTCCAAGTTCCCCTTTCCTTTTACTCTATGAAAAGATCTTCCTCTTCTTCTTCTTCTTCTTCTTCTTCTTCTTCTTCTCTGATACATACTTACAATCTTCCCCAGGGTGCACCATATGACGACTTCCCCGAATCCGGCTGGGACAAACTCATGGCCCTCAACGTCAAATCCATCTTCTACACCACCGTCGGTCTACACTCCCTCCTCACCCAGTCCGCCACACCCCACAACCCATCCCGAGTGATCAACATCGCCTCCATGGCCGGCATCACGACCGTCGACGTAACCGTAGGCGAAGAAGGCGGACTCGCCGCTCCAGGGACAGGAACATTCTCCTACGGACCTTCCAAAGCGGCATGTATTCATCTCTCCAAAGGCCAAGCGAGTAAATTGATGCCGGACCATGTGACAGTGAATTGTATCTGTCCCGGAGTGTTTCCCTCGCGAATGACGGCGTTTGGCATGGAGAGTGCGTTGGATACGTTGGTCGCTGGGCAGCCGAGTGGGAGAGTGGGCACGCCGGAGGATTTTGGGGGGTTGGTCTTGTTTTTGGCGAGTCGAGGGGCGGCGCATATGACGGGCAATGTATTGGAGATTGATGGCGGGGCGACGTTGAGTGGATATCGCAGTCGGAGGAAGGCGACGGGGAAGGGGAAGTTGTGAGTTGAAGGGTAGGTATGTAGGTATTTTGTCTTGCTAGGGTTCGAGGGAATACGATCAAGTCTCTTGCCCGTGTTGACTCCTCAACTCGTTTACTCTTTTCATCTGCTGACTCTCCTCACCAGCCTCACCTTTCGTTAGTATGCGTTATCGCGGCAGACTGGGATATACAAAACTCTAAGAAGATACAATGTTCGCGGCGGGGTACCTCCTAAACGAAGTGTAAGTAGGAGGTACTTTTGTATATTCGGAGCAATCTCCGACTTCTACGCTCCTTTTGGTCAGAAGTGGTACTCTTGCTGTCTCCTTTTGATTGAGAAGTAACTTCTCGTCATCAGACCGATATGCGCGAGAAAAATATAGCACCCGTCACGCCTCAGAGAAGGCACATGAGCTGTAAAACCAAGCTTGGAGTGAATTCAACCACTACGACGGCATTTATCGCTTACTGCAAGCAGTCAAGAATCGGAACGAGAACTTACAAGCCGAGCCTACGAAGTATTTGAATGAGTTGCTAGCAGACTTCCTTCGTTATGGTCATGGACGATTATCGTCGGAAGAAATTGCCGAATACCTCAAGAATAGGAACTTGATCGATCGATAGCCTCCGAGAGAGATGAATTTACCAGAAGTTTCAGAGAAGCTTTCTAGGGGACTTCTGGTTTACCGAAACTGTCCTCAAAAGGTGTCTTGGAGCTAGACATGTATGTCCCGGTTCCGTACCTCTGCCGTCGCAAGACTACTTACCTGTAATATAATATTCCCAAGGCTCGAAGGTATGAAAACGTCTTTACACGGCCTACTACACCAAGAATCCGGAAAACGAGGATATTTTTCAAAAAAAAAAAAAAACGTGATTATGCTCCGTGATCTCAAAATGCACGCCCGGCTTGGATACTCTAGTTACGCGGCATATCGGCTCGAGAGGCGATTAGCAGAGTCTTCGCGTTGGGGATATGGGTTTATGGATACCTATGCTCGAATATACTCTCTTTTCACAGGCCGTAAGGGAGGTAAAGAGTTTACTCGCTATTGCCGGACTAGGTAAGGTACCTGTAGTTTGAGTTGAAATTGAACTAGTATACTCGGTCTCTAGCTATTACCTCCTAGGACTTTGTTCTTTTGTTCTTAGGGGAGTTGATGTTTGCGAAATGTACAATTTGTAGCACTGTCCGGGTATTGGGATACTTTTCTCGTAGTATTACTTCGTACCCCTCGACCTATCGATACTTCGGTGGGTCCCCTCCCCCGCCTCTTCTCTATAGCTACTTACCTTACCTGTACATGTAGTCCAGCTTCGACTTTTCCAACTATTTCCACTACTACTATTACTATCACTACTACAACCAATCCCACCACCACCGCTCCCATGGAAGAACAAGTCTCCCATCTCGTCGACAAGCTCCAACACAAACTCGCCAACCTCCCCGCGAACAAACGATATCTCGTCGCCGTGAGCGGGATACCCGGGTCTGGAAAAACCACCCTCGCCTCCCGAGTAGCCAACTCGCTCAATTCCCGCTGTCGCCGCTCGGACACACACGAAAAGAGCGCCGCCGCCGCCGCCGACACGACGCCCACCACTTCTGCCCTCGATGTCGCGACGTTCCTGCCCATGGACGGCTATCATCTCACACGCGCGCAACTCTCTGCCCTCCCCGATCCAGCACATGCTCACGCGCGTCGCGGCGCAGCATTTACATTTGACGCGCCGGCATTTTTGGCATTGGTGAAGAAATTGCGGGAGCCGATTGGTGCAGATACAAAGACTATTTACGCGCCGAGTTTCGACCACGCGGTCAAAGATCCTGTGGAAAGGGATATTGCGATTCCGGGCTCGAGTCGGGTGGTGGTGATGGAAGGGAATTATTTATCTTTGGGAAAGGACGAGTGGAAGGAGGCGGCGGGGTTGATGGATGAGTTGTGGTTTGTCGAGGTGGAAGAGGAGGTTGCGAGGAAGAGATTGGTGAGGAGGCATGTGGCGAGTGGGATTGCACGGGATGAGGAGGAAGCGGGGAGGAGGGCGGATGAGAATGATTTGGTGAATGGGAGGGAGATTGTGGAGGGGCGGTTGGAGGTGCATGAGGTGATTCGGAGTGAGGAGGATGAGAGGTGGGGGCCGGAGAGGCAGGGTGTTGAGAAGGAGATGGGGAGCACGAGGTGAAGGAATATTGAGTCGTAATATGTTGAAGCTACGTAAGGTGTGATATACATGAACGACGAGCGAGACAGCAGCTCTTGCTGTGGACAATGGGCTATCGCGATACATGCTCTGTAGATGGGGGTTGCATGCAGGTCAACAAGAGCATCAGAAGGCGGTGCTAGCAACAAGTAGGGTGTTGCAGTCTTTTGCGTGGAGAGCGATGTGACAGGAGGAGTAAGTAGCAGTCAGTCGCAGAGCAGTAGTATTCCGCCCAGCATGGAGGCTCTGTATAGTGCATGTCGACATGTGAAGAGAAAGTAAGACACCTACCTAGTACCTATGGTCGGTCGTCATAACAGAAGATGGCCGTCGTCATAGCAGAGGGTCGTCATAGCACATCACCACTTTCGGCTTTCAATCTTGGCGGTGGAGGAGATTGCGACAAACAGGGAAAATGGCATTAGTCTCCACTATACTAACGACAACACGTGAGAAGTCAGGATGGAGAAGGAAACAAGAGGGACAAGCAAGGGAAGGGAAGGAAAGGGAAGGGAAGGGAAGGAAAGGGAAAGGAAAGAGAAGGAAAGGAAGTGGAAGTGGAAGTGGAAGTGGAAAGGGCACGGTTCGCAGTGGCTTGATAGTTGTGACGTAGGTAATGCGCCATCATCAGAGAGAGCTTCCACTTTCCATCTCTTTCCCATCCAACAAAACTGCTTCCATCCACCCTTCATTCCTCTTTCACCCTCACATCTACCACCTCAACAACTTCATCCACCCACCACCACCACCACCACAACAACACTTTCCCATCATCTCCCATCAACCGCACACATCACCGCCATCAACATGTCTCTCAGCTGTATGTCTCTCTCACCACCAACCTCCCCGCGCCCCCATCGCATTGGGAGAAGAGAAGAGAAGAGAAGAGAGAAGAGAAGAGAAGAAAAGACACAAAAACAACAACTAATCCATCTTCCATCAGACCTCCCACCAGTGAAGCCATCGGCCATCGCCCTCGGCACCCTCTTCAACCATGCCGCATCCCTCGCCGTCCTGGGCCCCGTCTTCGGCGACACATACCGCCGCGCTATGCAAGCAAACAGCAATGAGGAGTTCTTCAAGTCCAAGGAGGCTGCTTCCGCTGGTGCCGCTTGGGGCACTTCGCTCATCGGCTCCGCCGTCCAGTCATACGGTGTGGGAGCTCTCATCAACGCCACCGGTACTCTGTCTTACAAGGGCGCTGCATACCTTGGCGCTCTGATCTTCGCTGCCTCGTCTGCCCCATCAGTACGTCCTTTTCATCACAAATTTCCATTACACCACTAACTCTGCGCAGTTCATTGCACAAATCACCACCGAGAAGCGCCCTCTTGACACGGTCGCCGTCGGCGCCCTTGCCCGTGTCTTCGAGACTGTCGGTCTGTCGCTGTTCCTCACCTACTGGGGTACCCGCACCAACCCATTCGACTCGCGCCTCCAGTAGATGATGGAGAGTACAGCACAGAAGCTGTGAGAGATGGACTTTTTACTATGAAAAATGGGAAGTTTTGCCGTCGCGCAGAATCTTCCAGGTTGGAGATAGCGGTGGAAATGCAGACCCTTTGAGCTACTCCTTCTATATGTATACTCCACTACGGGAGGCCCTCTGAAATGAATACTAGTTTCTTGTACTTGTCGAGTGCCTGACTATTTCTATGGTGATGTTTGTGTCTTTGTCTTATCCTCGGCTGATGCCGATTCTCCGACATCGAACTTCATCCTTGATTATTCATATTTTCCATTCCTACTCTCACTTGTCATTACATGTGCCACTGGACCAAGACATTTACAAAGAACGATTCTGCAAGAAGAAAGGAAAACAAGATAACTCTTCGACGAAGCGACAGGCGGCAACCAGAGCCATGGCAACCGACCTCTTTGCAATTGCAGTCGACGCCGATGATGATGCCACCACAGCCGCAGATGATGTCCATGATCAAGTCACCACTTGCACCGACGGAGGAGAAGTAGAAGGAGAAGTAGACGGAGAAGAAGAAGAAGAAGAAGATGATGATGAAAAAGATGATGATGAGAAAGAGGAAGAAGAAACCCAATCCCGAACATTCCAATCCGAAGAAAATTTTCAACTCCAACGAAAAAATTATTCTGCAAAAATGTATGGTCATCATCATCATCATCCATCGAGGAGATGTGGATTATATGAGGAATTTCAATTACAAGTTTTTCCTGGTTTTGATGCAGGCTCTGAGGATGTAGAGGGAGATGCAGATGGAAAAGAGGAAAAAGAGGGAGATGTGGAGGAAAAGGAAAAAATTCAACTCTCAAAATCCCAAATTCAATTTCTGGGTCAAGTTATTGGAGAATTATATTTTGAAGAAGAATTTGAGAAGTTGGTGGAGTTTTGTGGGAGGGTGAGGAGGAGATGTTGTTGTTTTTTGGGGAGGGATGGACAGAAAGGGTTGGAGGAGAGGTTAAGTAGGTGGGAGGGGAGGTGTTTGGAGAGGTTGGGGAGGAGGGGGAGCGGGGAGGGGGAGGGGGAGGGTGGGTTAGGGTAATAGGGGAGGGGGAAGGGGAGGGTTAGGATAGAAAGAAGAAGAGGGAGGGAGAGGGGAGGGGAGGGTTTATTGTAGAAAGAAAGGGAGGTTTTGGTTCGTTCTCTTTTCTTCTTCTTCTTCTTCTTCTTCTTCTTCTTCTTCTTCTAAACTTGTAGTTTTCTTTTTCTTCTTTTTCTCTCTTCTTCTCTCTTCTTTTTTTTCTTCTTTTCTTCTTTTCAGTTTTTGCTAACAGGATGGTGCCAGCAAAATTGGAGGGAGGAGTAGATGGGTTGATAGCAGCGGAGTGACATATTTTGCGAATATTTGATGCACTTATCCACTCACTCACTCACTGCACAACCCTACTGTATATACATCTTGAAGAAAAAGGCACTCGAGTGAATGAACATTTTCGAAATTAAGGAAAAGAAAAGGAAAAATTATAGGGAAAAAGAAACCGCTTTCAAAACCCATCTCCCTCCAAACCTCCAGATACACAACAAACAAAAAATCATCCCCCCCCCCCTGCACATACATCTAAGTCTGTGACCCAAAAGCCGGAAACCTCGGCGCCGTAACCCCATCACAACTATACTGCACCAAATACGCACTACTCGCCACTCCCGCCCCCAAAAACACCGTCCCATCAGGCGCCGTAACACGCATCGCAAACGCCGCATCCCCTTGGGCCTGCGCAAACATGATGCGAAGCGCATAATACTGGCCCGCAACAAACGTGGTATTATAAGTCGCGCTCCCAAAACCATACGCCACGGACGCGTCGACATTGGAGCGCAGCCAGCCCGAGTAGGCTTTGGGGCCGATCCAGATTCCGACCCAGTCGTCCGCGTTGGAGACGACGAAGCTGTAGGTTCCGGAGAGGACGGCGTAAATGTATCCTTGGTGGTTGAGAGCGAAGAGCGCGCTGCTGGAGCGCGTGCATTGGGAGTAAATGGTTAGACTGTTGGCATTTGTGGCGTAGTTGATGCCGCCCACGCCTGTGGTGACTCCTGTGCATTCGGGAGCGCGGGTTTTGTATTGTTGGGGGACGAATTCGCTGTAAGGGTCACTGCCTCCTTGGTTGTTGCCGTTGACGTTGGCATATACGGCAAAGGCTACGCCTTGGTTGCCGCATGTGGTGGGCGGAGGACAGCGGGTGGTTGTGACGGTGGAGGCGGTCGTGACATTTGTCGTCAGGTTGATCGTCCGCGTCGCTGTTAACGCGATGGTGGCGGTGACGGTTCGTATGACGGTGGCAACGATAGAAGAGACGGTGGCTGTCGATGTCAAGGAGAGGGTGGTCGTGGATGTTGTCGAGGCATTGACGACTTGTACGAGAGTGGTGAGCGACGTCACAGACTGCGTGACCAAGACGTTTTGGACAGTGCTGACGATTGATGTGACGATGTTCGTCTGCGTTTGCACGTTGGTGGTCAAGCCTGTGACGGTCGTGCCGGCAGTTGCAAACTGCGTGAGTGTCGTTGACACTGTTGCAACTTGGGTCTGCAGTGATGTAACAGTACTCAAATCAGTCGCGAGAACTGTCGAAGTGGTCGTTTGAGTCGTTGTGAGAGTCGTCAAGGCCGTGGTCACCTGTGTAGCGATGGGTCAGCAAGTATCATTGAAACTTGGGGCCATAATCGGGTGCAGGTCTATCGAGGTACGTCCACATGCCCGGATACAAGTTATTTCACTTACCGTCGAAACTGTTTGTAGAACTGTAACCGTAGTGCTCTGGGTGTCAATCGAGGTCACAAGTGCCGTAGCTGTCGCCGGAATGGTTTGGAACTGGGTCAGAGTCGTGAGCAGGGTCGATACCTGAGTGGTCAATGCCGTTGTGGTAGCTTGAGCGGTCGTGGTAAGAGTGGTTGTCGAGCTGAGCGTCCGCGTCAAGGTTGTCAGGGCAATTGTGGCCGTCGATACTGTCTGGAGGATCGTTGTGGTAGTACTTTGAATGTCAGTCGACGTCGAAAAGGCCGTTGTAGTCGCTAGTATCGTTTGATACTGGGTCAGTGTGGTGTACAACGTCGATATTGCAGTAGTCAACGCCGTAAGCGTAGACTGGGCCGTCTCCACGAGCGTGGTGGTAGAAGTCGTTGTCTGGAGCAGAGTTGTATATGCAACCGTGAGCGTGGAAGCGGTCTCTGTAGAGACGACTGTCGTTTGTGTCGTCTCGGTGGAGGTGGATTGCACGGTGACAGTAGCAGGAACTGTTTGGAATTCCGTGAGAGTCTGCAAGAATGTCGACAGCTGGGTCGTCAACGCCGTTGTTGTGGATTGCGCAGTCTCCACAAGGGTGGTCGTGGAGCTAATCGTCTGGAGAATGGTCGTCAACGCGACGGTGAGGGTTGATTGGGTTTGCGTGGAAACAATTGTCGTCAGCTCAGTGTTGATAGAGGTAGACAGAACAGTAGCTGTGGCAGGGACCGTCTCAAACAACGTTAATGTTGAAGACTCGGTGGCTGTCTGTGTTGTGAGGCCAGTCACGGTAGCAAGAATCGTTTGCAAGAGTGTCGTCGTAATGGTTTCAGTCGAGAATGATGTCGTCAAGGCCGTAGTTGCAGTAGACACCAGTTCCGTCAGCGTGATAGTCGTGCTTTGGATCTGCGTTGACGTGAAGGTCTCCGAAGCGGTAGTGGAGATGGTTTGGAAGAGAGTGGACGTGATCAGCTCAGTCTCCAGCTGCGTTATTGGAAGAATCAATGTTGCAGTCGCTTGCTCGAGAGTCGTGGTCGTGCTAAACACTGTGGAGAGCGATGTAGTCAGAGCACTCGTGACCAGCGACAGCGTCTCTGTGAGGTACAGTGTGCTGCTGTCCGTCTGGATCTCGGTCGTCAGATCTGTAGCCACCTCCGAAGCAGTCTCAAACCGTGTTACTGTGGCCCGGACGGTAAGGGTGGATGTGGATAACACGGTCGCTGTCTCGGCAGCCGAGTCGGTCACAGTCTGAAGGATGCTCTCTGTCGACGTCGTGGTTAATAGAGCAGTCTGGATCACCTGGGCAGTCTCGTACAGGGTTGTGGTAGTGCTCTGAGTAATGAACCTCGTGCTGAATTCGGTAGCAAGCGCAGAGTCGGTATCGATGACTACAGTTGACGCCGTCTGTGTAGAGACAGAGGTCAAAAACTCAGTCGCGGTCAGAGCCAGGGTATCAATGATCGTTGACACACTTGTGATTGTCAAGTAAGAGGTGAATATTTCCGTCACTAGCTCAGAAGCAGTCTGGTATACGAGCTGTGTTTGCGTGCTTGTCAAAACTGTCGTGGAGAATGCGGTGGCTCCGAATGTGGACGTCTGCAAGGTAATGACCGTGCTTCTACCGGTTGAAGTCGTTGTAGAGATGTCGGTCTCGACAGCAGTAAGGATCTGATCCACGGTAGAAGTCACCGTCTGAGGCGGACTCTCTAAAATGTCCAAGCACAGGCAGCCTTCCGAGATGAGTGCTGCGTCGAACTGTGAAAGATCAAGCGCAGAAGTGGTAGTAGTGGCTGGATCGGTGGTACTAGTGGACAAAGCCGAAGAAATCGAAGAGGCGCTCGAAGTGATCACAATATCTGAGCTCGTAGTAGCGCTGCCGACAGATGAAGTGGTCAAGTCGGTTGAAGATTCGATCGAGGTAACAGGATCTGTAGAGATTTCACTCGAGGTTGTGATAACTGATGAAGTGGTGCTAGTGCTAACCTCTCCTGGTGTAGCAGGCTCTGAGCTGGTAATGCTGATCTCTCCAGATGATGTAGCCTCGCTGGTAGTAGTGCTAGAAGTGCTACTATCTGTCGGTGTTGTTTCGATACTACCAGGCAGAGTAGGAATCGCGGAGATTTCACTCGATGTTGTGGCCTCGCTGGTAGTAGTGCTAGAAGTGCTACTATCTGTCGGTGTTGTCTCGATAGTACCAGGCAGAGTAGGAATCGCGGAGAGCCCACTCGATATTGTAGCGTCAGTGGTAGCAGTGCTAGAAGTGCTAACATCTGTCGGTGTTGTCTCGCTAGTACTTGAGACAATAGAAGAATCCGTAGAGAGTCCACTCGATGTCGTAGTGGCGCTAGAAGTGCTACTGTCTGTCGGTGTCGTCTCAATCGTAGTGGGCAGAGTAGGAATCGCGGAGAGTTCACTCGATATTGTCGCCTCGCTTGTTGTACCAGTATCTCCAGGCGTTGTCTCGATAGTACTGATGCTAGTAGCAGGAAAAGTAGGGATTGCAGAGAGCGTATTCGAGGTTATAACAACCAACGAACTCGTGCTAGTGCTACTGTCTCCTGATGTTGCAGCGTCGCTAGTAGTACCACTGTCTGTCGGTGTTGTCTCGATAGTGCTAGTACTGGTAGCACTATCTCCAGACGTCACAGCCTCGCTAGTAGCAGTAATAGTAGGGACCGCAGAGAGCGTATTCGAGGTGATGACAACTAATGAACTCGTGCTAGTGCTACCACCTCCCGATGTAGAGATTTGGCTAGTGCTGATACCACTAGGGTCTGAGGACATTTCACTCGAGGTCGAGGAAGTTGCAGTAGGATCTGCACTAGTTTCCACAGTACCGGTTGTAGTAGACAGAACACTGCTCGACGTGGTCTCAGATGCTGAAGAGTTACCTCCTGAGCTTGTGGAGGGGGGAGGAAAGCTCGAGGTGCTAATAAGTGTGGAAGAGGTAGAGCCTGGATCGATCGGTATTGCGCTATTGGAGTCCGTCCATGAAGAGAGCGTAGTCGTCGAACTCGCAACGCTGGAAGAGCTCGATGTTCCCGAGATAATAGGCAATATGATACTCGTCGGGATCGTAGAAGAGGAAGGGAAGCTCGAGACAGTAGAGATTGTGGACGAGGTAGAGCCTGAAGTGATTGGTATTGCGCTGTTGGGGTTCGTAGAGAGAGAGGCTGAGTTTGAACTTGAAATGTTGGAAAAGCTCGCAGAAAGAGAGGCTGAGTTCGAAGTCACAATGCTGGAAGAGCTCGTAGAAAGAGAGGCTGAGTTCGAAGTCACAATGCTGGAAGAGCTCGTAGAAATAGAGACCGTGTTCGAACTCGCAACGCTAGAAGATCTTGATGTTCCCGATATAATCGGCAAAGTAATACTCGGCGGAATCGTAGAAGACACGATCGAAGCCGTACCGGAGAATACCGAAGAGCTGCTGCCGCCGCCTGAAGTAGTGCTATCCGTGGAGAGCGAAGCACTCGATAAAGAGGGTAGTAAATTGCTCGAGGAAGTACTCAGAGCGTCCGTACTACTTGCGGTGGAAAGGCCGGAAGAGCTCAAAGAGCGCGATTGGCTTGAAGATGACGAGGACAAGAGTGTGCTGCTTGGTGCAGATATTGGCATAGTAGTGCTCGCGGAAGAAGCTGTCGTGCGCTCTGATGGTATTGTTGAGCTGGGCGATACCAGAGTGGGATCGGCAGTGAACGTGGACGGTTCGAAGGACGTTGATTGAGAGGCGAGGGTTGAAGTCGGTGATGTTCTTGTGGAAGATGACACTGGGTTTCCTGTACCAGCAGGTGAACTCTGTATCGAAGTCGTGGAGCGAGAAGATATTGAGCGTGTTGAAGTGCTAGTCGGAAACAATGTGCCGGAATCGATAGTAGAGTTTCCAGGAGTGCCTGTGATGATTGGCAGAATGATTATTGTCGATGATGATGCACGACTGGAGACCGAAGACACGGCGATGCTTCTCGTCGATGAGCTAGAACTTGGGATCGAAGAACCAGAACTTGATACTATGGTAGGTAGAGTGAGCTGAGAAGATGTCGATCCAATGGAAGCAGTAGATATACTTGTCGAAGATGAGGCAGTACCAGAGACCAACGAACCAGGACTTCCAATTATCGTAGGTAGAGTAGTATATCCCGAAGAAGCCGATTGAGCAGAGGTAGCCGATATAATCACCGAAGCTGGACTGGAACCTGGAGTCCCAGAGCCCGGACTTGCTGTAATCGTAGGTAGAGTGTACCGCGAAGATGTCGATCGAATGGAAGTGCTTTGGGAAGATGATGAGCCTGGGCCAGATGGAGGAGTGTATACTGGAGCTGGAGATGCAATGACACTAGATTGTAGCGGTGGTGAGGAGGAGGGTAAGCCAGACGTAGGGACGGAAGTGATCACAGAAGTCCCTGTGCCGGGCGTGGATGTCGAGACTGGGGGCAGTGTCTGGATCGAAGATGTCGAGGTGATTGAGGATGTGCTTGAAAGGTTCGAGCTGGACATTATTGATGATATACTGTGCGAGGTCATCTGCCCCGAAGTCGTGAGATGTGGTACGGTGGAGGTGGAGATGTCCGGTGGTGCGAGACAACAGCTTCGGTCGTAATATGCGTACTGGGAGTGTGGGTTGTTCTCAAACTCGCACGAAATCGGTGCGCCAAATAGCACACACGTCTCACCGCCATACATCATGCTCTGACATCGGCCTTGGCTCCTGCACAGCGTCATGCAAGTTGCGAGACTGCATGCAAGATGCGTAGACAAGTACGTGTGGGCAATGCTCGCATCGTAGCCCCTGATGCCACACTTGGGCGCAGCCGGCGGCGATGGCTCGTTGTCATATGCCTCTGGCAGGGCATATGCTTCTGGTAGGGCATATGCTACTGGCAGGGCATCTCGCTTCGCCAGAACCACTCCATTGCACACGCTGCGAGTTACCGCCACACTAAATTGCTGTCAGAACTCTAGCTGGACCAAATTCATCAGGGGGCATTCTTTACCCAATGACAGTCGATGTCACATTGTTAGTCGCGGTCAATGTGGACGTAATCGAGGTCGTTTGAGTGGCGGAATTTGTCTGTGTCAGGGAAATCGTCGCTGTAGCTGTAATCGCGATGATACTTGCGGTGGCGGATATGACAATCGTTGAAGTACTTGTAGATGTCGCTGTATTCGTGATAGTATTCGTGACAGTATTCGTCACAATATTCGTCGAAAGATTCGGGATCAAGCCCGTCAAAAGAGACAGCACTGTAGTGATAATATTCTGCGTAGTTACCGAGCCTACCGTCGAGATGATAGTGGCAGTCAGAGTGTTCGTGCTCGTCACAGCAGTCTGAAACGTCGTGATCGAATTGATTGCTGCGCATATGTAAGTAAGTCACCCAAGCCATTGCGATGGTATCATGTCCCCGTGTGGCACGATAAGGTGCGTGCACGTACTTGATGTAGTCAGAATCGTCGCCGTGCTTGTAGAAGTAGCTATCGCCACATTCGTTGTCGTTAAGCCAATTGTGCTAGTTGAGGTCTGAGTGGCCGTGATCGTTGACGAGAAAGTGCCGATGAGAGTAGTTACGGAATTGATCGTTGATGTTGTCGTTGTCTAAAGAATGTTAAGTAAGGTCCCTGTCAACAATGCCGTCTGCTCGGAAAGTTGCCTCTAATCGGGGTAGAAATTCGTTGTGCAAAGACTTGGACATTGCAAGACGCTTTCATTAAGGGTGGCTGTACATACCGTTTGAGTCAGAATCGAGGTCGCTTGCACGATATCAGTCTCTGTCGCCTGGACAATCGATGTGATTGTAGCAATCTGCGTAGTAGTAGAGGTGGCCTGAGCTATCTGTGTGGTGTCCAAGCCGATGGTCGAGTAACTCGTATCAGTACTGGTGATCGTGGATACGATCGTCCCAATGAGGGTGGTCTGAGAATTGAGAGTCGAGGTGACTGTGACGGTCTGCGTTGTCAAAGAGGTCTCGGACGCTGATATCGTTGTGCCTGTTGTCAAGGTCGAGGTAATTGTAGCAAGCTGGGTTGTTGTAGAAATCGTCTGGGCTATCTGCGTCGTCACTAGGCCGATTGTTGAAGTGCTAGTATCGATTGTGGTGATTGTGGACACTGCATTGTCAAACAATGTCGTAGTGACGCCTAGTACTGAAGTGAAGGTCGAAAATCGCGTAATTATGGAAGTAGTTACTGCTTCGCTCGTAGTCGCCACTTGGATCGTGGAAGTTATTGTAGCCAGCGCAGTAGTAGTAGAGGTGACTTGAGCTATCTGTGTTGTTGCCAGACCAAGCGTAGATGTGCTTGTGTCTGTTTGAGTGATTGTAGACACAGCACTTTCGAACAAGGTCGTAGTGGCGCCAATCACGGAAGTTATGGTTGCAGTCTCCGTGACGGTCGAAAAGGCCGAGATCAGGTTCGTGATAGTAGGCCCGATTATGGTAGAAGAGACTGTTTGTGTTTCAGTAAGTACAGATAGCTCTTCAGCTACAGTGGTAGTTACGGATCCGATCGTCGAAGTAATGGTATCGGTACTTGTGCTGGAGATGGTCTCGGTGGCTATGAATGTAGTGAAAGAATTGGCCGTAAATGTGGTGGTTGTGATCTGGGTCAGCGTGGAAGTGTCCAAAGCCAAGCTCGTTGTACTGCCGATGATGACAGAGGTAACCGTTGCAGTCTGGGTGATTGTGGACGTGGCCTGTGCAATGTCTGGATGCGTTCTAGAGGTAAGCAAGTATCTCGAATGGGTTTGATGTTTCGAGACTGTTCTCCTCTCACTAGCATCGCCCAGAGGAGCTACATCGGCGTAGTGTAACTACAGGACACGCAATTGCCTGACTTACTAGTAGTGAGAGATCCTACCGTAATGGTCGATGTCGAAACACTAGTGGTGGTCAATGTCGCCAAGACCTGTGTCAAAGTCCTCGCCGACACGGTAGAAGTGATAGTAGCCGTCTCAGTGAGTTGCGAGATTGTCGTATCAAAGGTGGTAGTCAGAGCATTCACAGCTTGAGTTATAGTCCCAGTGACAGTGGTCGTTGTCGTGGTCAGCGAGATTTCGGTCAAAAATTGATTAATGGTGCTTGTAATCGTAGCTGTGTCGAACAAGGTCGATGTCGTGGATTCGAGGGCAGTGGTGAGGATATCAAGCGCTGATGTCAGGGTGCTGGTTGTTGTCGTTTCCAAAAACTGGGTGGTGGTAATGGTGGTGAGTGCGTTGACAGCTTCAGTGAGCGTACTGTACACCGTGGTACTTAATACCGCTGTAGAGACCACATTTGTCGTTTGGTCCAACCCCGATGTGGTTGTGCTCGTGACTGTAATCTATAGTCGTTAACCAAGCGTCAGCGAATAGTCTAGCTGTATAGCGCATGTATTGGCTGTCTGTATCCGCTCTGCAGCGACTCCGCCGCAGAGAACAGAGTTTTCACTGTTATTCTGGAGGGGAACAAGTGAAGCTCATTGAGCAGAATCGCCACTTACCACTGATAAAGAAGTAATCACGGCAGTCGCAAGGTCAGTCACATCGGATATCGCTGTACTCGTTTCCACGACGACCGATGTTGAAGTCTCCAAAGCCGTCTCATTGAGCTGGACCAGTGAAATAGTCGTTGTCGTTACGGTTCTCGGATTTGTGACCGTAATCGTGGGAATGGGTATGCTAAGCTGGCTAGAACAAAGCAGCTGGTAGTCCGGAACGGCCGTCAGCGCGGACGTAACGTTCGTAATTGCCTGGCATTCTTCTGCATGTATGACGGAATATAGAGGTGATGCCAGCGATTGGGGTATGCGAGCTTGTATTGCCCGTAACTGGTGGCGTGCCGAGGCGAAGATGATTGATGGCAACAACAATATCAGTGCCGTCTGCACGAGGCGCATACTGACATAGGAGTGAAGGACTGGCCTTCAGCACCTGGCGTGCGATGCCATAGAGAGATGATAGCTAATGCAGAGAACCGCTCTCTTCTAATTCAAACAACAGTAATGCATTGTCAGCCCGCTGTCCCTCAGACTGGGCATATGACACGGTGCAAGAAGGCGCGCGGTGGAGCGCTCCCCAGCGAGCTGGCTAGTTCGGTGATATATGGAGAGGTGTGGCGTTGATCGGCCCTGGCATACGAGATATGTTTGAGATGGAACGTGAGAATCCAGCATCCTACGAGGGCCTGTTGGCCACGCATGCAAAGCTCATGCTGGAAGAATCATCTTTGCATATCCTGTGTAAAGCAGTCATCGGTATGAGGCTGCTACATGCAGCAATGATGCTGACAATTCATAAAACGATCTGCTGGAGGAACCGCTGGAGGGCGTGCTGATGTCGCTCGTGCACCGTTAGGGCAAGGGGAAATGCCAGGCACACGATTAGCGGTGTGGCAGACAACTTGGAAGCAGAATAGCCGGTGGTGTACCTGCGTACCGTGTAGTCAAAAGGTAACAAGGTTGATACAGATCGGTGGTACTGTGCGGTCGGATTAGCTTGGCAACACTTTCGTGGGCTGTGTCCTCTAAGAATTCCTAGACTCCATGGTACCATGTGAGACATGCCATCAGATTAGACACGCTCGTTCGCGGCGCTGTAGCGCGAGGCATACGAGTACTTGATCGTATTGTAAGACCGGCGTCACTTTGTGCTTCTTGGTCAGATCTCTGCCAGCAGTATTACAAACCGACAAGCTTCAAACAGCCCGTCGGCATGCCGATCGGCTGTCAGGACTCCCGTCCAAGCAAAGAGCATAGGTAGCATCGCGCGTTGGATAGGATGAACGGAACGGTTCTACAAAGTTGAATATTGTCTTAGACTTTCTCTCCGGCGTCGTACCTTAGGTAGTATGTCCGGTCCGTCCGTAGGCGCTCTTAAAGACATCGCAGACAGGCTTGGTCGCTGTTTTATTTTGCAAAAGAGATGTTTACCTCGCAGGCCATGCGTAGAAACGGGGTAGAGCGAGATCTGCGCTCATTGGTCGTGGGACGCAAAGAGCACGCGTGCAGATGATGAAGTGAATAAGAAGATGATGAAGATGATAACGAAGATCTCATTGGAGAGGATTCGAGTTTGCGGAGATACCTCGGAGGGCTGGGAATGTATGGTAAGGAAGGATTCATAGATGCCCGACAATCGAAACTGTTCGCCAAGTACACATACACATACCTTGAGATCTGTGCCTTCACTCACTGTCTAGGTGACTACAACTCAACTGCTCCTTGGTAGAACTACCTATGCCGTACAGGCTCTCTTGACCAATTGCGAAAGATCAGCCGAATATTATCAGGGTGTGTTTCGATCAAGGCGGAGAAGGCTTCCACGCGCTTGATTCTTAGATAAAGCTGTCGATGAATTGGTACGAGGGAAGGAGGTAGTGAAGAAGGGCTGCATCTTTGATCTTTCGCTCGTCGGACCCGTGTCTGTCATGTAGAGTGTGTTGACGACGTGCGATCCGAAGCCCACGAATCATGTCCCTCTTGACCTCATCGACTGGATGTGGCATAAAGTCATCTGTCAGAGCATTGGCCCACAACTACGAAGGCTGCGAGCTCTCATTCCGCTCCACGAGTTCACCCACACCGAGCTGTCTCCCAACCTTCACTTTCCGCAATTTCTCTTTTCCCTCAGCAGCAGCAGCAGAAGCATCGCCACCAGCTTTCTCAATACTTCCCACGGCATCGCCTTCATCTTGCACTCCCTCGTCATCAGAGTCCTCGTCAATCTCATTCCGCAAAAAGTCCAAATCCATGCGCATACTGTACGCATCCTCACCATCGGCATAGTATTTCGCCTCCGTGGCAATCACCTTGAAGCCGAGCGTATCTCTGTATAGCGATAATGCGGCGATGTTGGACTCGCGCACATGCAGGGACACATACTGTGCTCCCCATGTCTCGAACATGGCTCTTTCTGTGACAGCGTTAGCTCCTCCTCACTGTGGCTGCACTCGTTCCATGCTACATACGACTTTGGCGCATGAGCTTCTCCGCTAGCCCTAATCGTCTATGTGTACGCATGACACTGAGTGATGTGATATGACCGTGCTGAACTCCGTCTTGCGGATCTTCTTCCATCTTTGCCAGTACATAACCGACAATCTTGGGTGCGTCATATGGTGTTTTCTGAGGTCTTGAAACCTAGTTTCAAGTCAATATATCTCTGGCTTCCGTATATGCATCTCTTTCCCAGCTCGAGGCAGACGTACGTCTACGGCTACGTAGCTCAATTGTGGCCAGCTCAAGGCATGGTACATGTAGTATTTGCAAAAGTAGTTTTCGGGCAGGTTCGTAATGTTCGTTTGCTGGACGTGCGGGATATCGGAGAGCTGAAGTACGCGGATATCCATGGTGGCGGTATGGTCGACAGAATTAGTGATGGAGTGAAGCTGGAATCAAATGCATTGCGATCATCTTGAGTTTTGGAGGCTCAAATGCTCGGTGATGAAGTTCCGCCGATGCCTTTCAGCCTGAGGCAGAAGGTATCCACTTTCACATGCGAAAGAATGGAAGTATACAGGCATACCTTATTCATTTGATTGCTCACGATAAGCGTCTCTTCAAGATGGGAAGAAGGGCGGCAATTAAAGTCTTTTCGATGCGACGCTATTTGCGACCAGAAGAGACCAAACTCTACGATCGATTGGCCTCTTACAGTCTGCTCAAACCTCGATATAAATACTATCATACTAGCTTCTCAACCACAGGCTACGCCAATATTCACAGCATGCGTGTTGCGCAATATGTAGTAGACGAGCAGATATTTCAATACCGACATTACGTAGGTTTTAATTGGCCAAAGTACTCTATAGGACTTGATTCTTCGGCAAGAACAGACGTCCACTATGCTTACAAGCGCCTAACAGGGTTACTTGTAGGAGGTATGCGGAGACCCCCCGCCGCGCTTGCTTATGTTCTGGAGGCTTTTGCCTAGTTTCTCTATGTTGGTGTAGTTTCCGAGTCAAGATCCAGATACTGAGATGTTTCCTAGCCGAGAGAAGGGACAACCTATTCAACACGCTAGTTGTTGTACTAGCGCCAGATAGCTTGGATAATCTCTGCTTCGCTACCTGGCAGCAGCTTATTTTCGAGGCGTCTGGCTGGGGAGGATCATAGTGGGAGCTTGTTGGTGAGCAGAGAACTTCGACGGCTATGTCAGACTCAAGCGAGATAGCTTCATGCTCCACCGTCTTGCAGATCCCAAGCAAGTCGAGTCGGTGGTTTTCGGGGACAGCCTCGATTGGTCAGTGTGGTGAATATTGTCTATGCACTCCACTGTCAAGTGTCAACAAGGTCGAATCAATGATAATCCAACATCTCATCTCCGCCCTTCATTCCTTGTCGTCAGCCGGCGGCGGTAGTCTGTAGAGCTGTGAAATTATTGCCGACATGGAATAAGTTACAAAGGCAGATTGGCTGACAACATGTGCCGGATCGTGAAATGTGGCAACCTATCGTGTACCTATGTTGGAAGACATGTCGCTGGTTACTGTGCTGGTCCTTTCCGGCGCAGACATGGCCTTACTGGCAGTGCGAGGAGAGTTTGAAGCCGGTGATGCTGAGGATGAAGCAATGAGCAGGTAGGAGGTACATGTCGATGTACATGTAGATGTATACGGTACATGGAGATGCATAAATGTAGTGCTGTCGAACGCAAAGGTCCGGCCGACATGAGTGACGTGCACGCCCTGCATGGGGGTTGGAACTAGGTACTCATGAACCTAAAAGTCGCCAAGTGAGGTCAAGGGTGGTCGGGCAGTAGGAGGTAAGTTCGCAGACCTTGGGATATACTACAGGACGTATACCTACAGTACCTGACCGCGCACGAGTTGACTGTTCCACCCGTTTGGTTGCACTGTGTTTCATCGAGCTGCTTTGGGCCTCTCGCGGCCTGTGAGGATTCCGATAGTCTGGCGCGGGCGGCGTGACACGGGCGTCAGCGCGCACACCGCATTGGCACCTAGGGATCGCATTGCCGTTGGTCAGCAGGGCGCTGACTCTGAGGTCGACTTCGATGCCGCATCTCGCAACCACCTCGTCGGCCAGCACCTCGGTCTTTGCGCGCTTCAAGAGGCACAACACGGGCGGCATTGGAACGACGAGCAGTGGAGATGCTGCTGCTGCTGCTACTGCGCTCGCTTCTTCTCCCGAAAAGAATCGCGCTGACCTGAAACTGCATCGACCGCGAACCGCCTCCGTGAGCGGACCCGGCGGCGCTGTCGAGTGGAAAGGAGGGAAGCTGGTGCAGCACGACCAGATCACCAAGACGCAAAACAGCCACCGGCGCGACAGCAGCATCCTCAGCCTGACGACGACGGTCGCCGACAGCGCAAAGGAGTTTGGTGCCAATGTGCGAAGGAGTGTGAGTCTGAGGTCTCAGTCTCAATCGCAGAGAGGTAGTGGCAGTGGCTCCTCCTTTGGCAACGGCAACAATACCAGTATCAGTAACCCCCACAGCGCAAGGGTGTCGGGATCGGGTCAGCACTCTACACCCTTGAGCGCTGCGAGCGCGGTCGAGGCTTCGGAAGAGGAGGGGAAGGAGAAGGACAAGGTGGATAGCACCGCCGCGCCGACGGCGGCTGCGACCACAACGACTGCGACTGCGACTGCGACTGGCACTCCGACTGCGACGGCATCAGGTCCAGCTTCTGCACAACCTCCTCCACTGCGGAGGAAGATTTCGCTCACGGCCAAAGGCCTCACATCCAAGTTCAAGTCGACCGAGGCACTTCCTAGCCTCCAGTCACCTGTATACCTCCAGAGCGTAGGCGCATTCTCGCCGCCTGCCCTCGAACGCGGCGATCCAATGTTGGTCTCCGCTCCGCCTAGCCACCCTCCTCCTGCACTGGGCAGGAAAACGTCGGATCAACTCCGCCCAGGTATGCAGACACAGACCAGCGCGACGCGGGACATTTCCTCGTCGCATGGTACTGGCGCATCTCTCCAGCAGGCTGCATCTGTGCCCCAAAGCGTATCAGGTGGACCTCTCAACCCGAACACGATATACACGACAATTCAGGAAACTTCTGCAAAGCGCATGGCGACGATTGACTATATGCGCAAACTACACGAAGGCGACATCTTTTACTTTGGAACCATGCACTACTCTCCCGCCGTGCTACAAAGCTTGCCTTCAATGCAGACGCACAAGCTGGGACGACGAGCGACCAATTATTTCTTACTTGGGTACAGTCTCCCCTTGGTGCTCGACGTCAACTCGAACACGCCCATGGAGTTTCTGAGAGCTCTGTCTGGGCTATTGGCAGAATTTGAAACGTATCAAACTCTGTGCGGGTTTGATGCCAGCGGAAACACGGTCAAGAACAGTCGCATGGGAGGCATGTTCAAATCCAGCATCCGCAGCACCAAAGGGCGTCGTTCTAGTACCGCGATTGCACCCAGTGACTTGGCTCTCGACGCCCGACAAGCGGAACTCTTGGGGCTCACTTCCCATCGGGATCCCCAGGACTTGACATCATCCATCAACCCCACCGGACACGAATTCAGTTTTCTCATGACGCCTAACATACCGTTTGAGCCGGACTTCAGCACCACTCTGGGGACGTTGTGTGATAGTCTCATTGATACGTATGCGAAACTGACGGAGCTGGTGTCGGGGCCGGAACACTGCACCCCGTTGGTGGGAGAGGCATTTTCGAAAGCGGACAAGGCGATCCGGAAGATTCTGGTGGCGAATGTAATGCGGGAGTTTGAAGAGACGACGAGAGGTGGAATGAAGAGCGAGATGGCGGGACTGGGGAAGCTGACGCTTGGTGGGCTCATGTAGGACGTGGGCTGTGAGCGTCAGTGGGGGGATGATGCATGACGACGATGATGATGATGATCTGAGAGCACCAGAAGATGGAGAAGGCATTGAAAGAGGTGGATATCAGGATGACCGGCGACGGTACCGATACATGGCTGCGGTGCTGGGAAGGATCGGTGTTATGACGACGACGATACCCTGGGGGATTTAAATGGCTGGCTTGAGATTTGGTCGGATGTGATACCCCCTTCTACTACTTACTATGATGGCGTTTGTTCTTTGGATGAGGAAACACGGGAAGGAATGGTTCAATGGGAGTGTGCTGTATATATAATATACCGTATATGTGTGTGTGTGTGCGCGATGCGATCCCAGCCGCATGCACCCGTCGAGACGGTCGATGTCGATAGGAAGTACGTGGGTACGAGAACGATTCTATTATGCGGTTTCTTGGCTGTCCCAGTCCCACCTGACCTGACTAGGGTACCTACTACAGTAAGGTATATGCCATTGTGCCTTACATGTTTCATAGTCATGTAGATGAGGTACATGTACTTCTGTACAACCCGATGATCTGCAGGTACCGTGTCCAGCCTCAGGCCTCCACCCTGTCATGACGGGAACCGCCTACGGACGTCCTGTGGTTGTTGTTGTTTGCCATACACATACCGACCTCCCTATATTGTTCCGACGCCCGTTTCTCAATAGGTACATACATGTTCTAGCGGCACGTTCGGCTTAAAGCCATCGTTGATCTCAACTGCCAACCCGACCGACGGCGAGGCTAGAACTACCTATTCCAGAAGGAGAAACTCCTGAACCGACGCTGGCCGCCCGGCATTACCTCTCATTGAATTTTTTGTTGGAACTTTTTTTTCGGCGCTCTTCACGCACCCACTTGTTATTACCTGCCATATGACCGAACTACCCTACTATACCTGTTCTTGTTCCGGTATGCGAGAAGAATGACGCGATAATAACTCTACCTTAGGTACAGTTATACCGCCGGTGACCGAATGCAGGAGGAGGATAATCGAGATAGGGAATGCTTTTCCATACCCTAACAAACCCTTGCTTCCGTTGTGTCGGGGAATTCCCATTCTTCTCGACGTCAACGTCCAGATGACAGTGCAATGTTAGCCTTATCAGGTACATAAGGTGGTATTTGTGCCCCTCTTCAGTGAAAAAAAAAACTTGGTGCTGCTAGAAGGTCCAGTCCATTGTTTCTCTGAGCTGCTGTGACTCAGCCCGTCCTCGACAACTACTACTTGTACTTTGTCCTCTGCTCTGCTCTGCTTTGTTCTCTTCTCTTCTGTTCTGTTCTTACTACCTTACACTCTACTACTGCTCGCTACTCACTCACTCCCTCACTCACCTACACAAGATGGCACCAGCAGCCCTCACTCCAGACCAATCTGGCACCTCAACTCCTACCGCTACCTCCGCCTCCGCCCTCACGCAGGCCGGCATCAAACACGCCCTCAATGGCAAGACCGACTCCTCCTCCTCCAACGGCGATGCTCTCCGCCCTCTCGAAACCTCCCTCATGACCTTCAACTACACCACCTCGCCCCGCCCCGTCCCCTCTCTCGACTCGGCCGAGTTCATCGCTCAAAAGACTTGCACAGACCACATGGTCTCCGCCCGCTGGACGGTCGAACACGGTTGGGACGCCCCGGAACTCAAACCCTACGGACCTCTCCCCATCTGGCCCTCTGCCAGCGTCCTCCACTACGCAACCGAATGCTTCGAAGGCCTGAAACTGTACCGCGGCTACGATGGCAAGCTGCGACTCTTCCGTCCCAACCGCAACTGCGCAAGAATGCGAAAATCCGCCGCCAGAATCGCTCTTCCCGATTTCGACCCCGCAGAGCTAGAAAAGATGATTGTGACCCTGTGTGCGACAGATGGGGATAAATGGCTGCCTGCAGAGCGCGCCGGACATTTCCTCTACGTGCGCCCCACCATGATTGGCACCGATCAGGCATTGGGCGTACAGAGGCCGCGAGAAGCGTTGCTTTACGTGATCATTGCCTGCTTCCCCGACATGAGCAAGAGTATCCCTCCGGCGTTGAACGGCGGCGTGGCCGAGGAGAAGAAGGAACGTGCGGGTCTGAAGTTGTTGGCGAGTAACGAGGACACGATCCGTGCATGGCCCGGAGGATTTGGATATGCCAAGTTAGGAGCCAATTACGGTCCTTCGCTGGTAGCACAGGGTGAAGCCCGTTCGCGGGGGTTCGATCAAGTGTTGTGGTTGTTTGGAAAAGAGTGCTATGTCACAGAAGCCGGCGCCTCAAACTTCTTCCTCGTCTGGAGATCCAAGGAATCAGGGAAACTGCAACTCGTTACGGCCCCGTTAGAGGAACGCATCATTCTCGAAGGTGTGACTCGCGCCTCTATTCTCGAATTGGGCAAGACTCGCTTAAACAAGCCCGTGGGCGAGTTGGAAGAATTGGAAGTCGTCGAGCAGAGATTTACTATGGACGACATCCTCTCCGCCGCAAACGAAGGCCGACTCGTCGAAGTGTTTGCTGCAGGCACAGCCTTCTTCGTAGCACCCGTAGGTTTAATCCACTTCCGCAACCAGGATCTGGAAATCCCCTTGGCTGAGGGTGATACGGGTGTGTATGCGAAGTTGATTAAGAGCTGGTTGGTAAGTATCATGTATGGAAAGGAGGAGCACGAGTGGGGTGTTCTCGTCAAGTAGACATAAAAAGAGAGAGAGGGGGAAAAAGGAAAAGGAAAAGGTAAAGGAGAGAGAGGAGAGATAAAAAAAAAAGCTAGCACGATATCTGCATTTTTGAGGCGGAGTTATACGGTCGGCTTTCTTCTATAGATTCTAGGCTCGGGCTAGATAGAAGCGTAGGTATTATTATATTTATATTAATATATACAAAACCGTCCTTCTAACTTCTTATTACTTAATAATCTAGTAATCTCTTTCTTTCTTATTTTTTCTTTTAGTTTTTCTTTAGTAAGAGATACTTACTATTCGATTAGTAAAAGTCTATAGAAGAGTAGCTTAAGTATTGTTAGTAGAATAGAGTAGTAGATAATAATAATATATTCTATAGGCTAGCCTATTAGTAGTATTAAACGTTAGTATAATATACTAGTAACTAGAGTAGAGAAGCTCTAGCAAACCTCTAGTAAGGTAGATAGAATAGACCGCTTAGGCCGAAAGCTCTAGTAGACCTCTAGCGATCTAGTATAGAAGGGATACTATACTAATCGAAGACGTTCTAAATTAAGAGAATTCCTAAAAGAACCGGTTATTAGCTACTATCTAAGAAGAAGGTAGTACTAGTAGCGAGAGGTAGATAATAGAATAGCTTATATATATAGCGAAGGCTCTTCTTTAAAGAGAAAGGATAGAGTTATTATACTTTAAATAGTAAGCTATATATTGTTTATATCTTTTATACCTTAGACCTCTATTATATATACTCTTACGCTTATAGAACTATTATATAATAACTCTTATACCTTACTATAAGGGAAAGGTCTAAATAATAGTAGAAGGATATTCTACTAGATAGAATTCTAGCGATTCGCTAGAGAACTCCGCTATACTAGAATAGGCCTCTACTAAATAGTCTTCCTCTATAGATATTAAAGTAGAACGCGTTTAATAGAAACTACTTAACTAGAAGGAATCTATAGAAGCTATTGCTAGTATCTAGCTAGAAGATATAGATATAATACGCTAGGGTAGAGAAGCCCTAGCGGACCCCTAGCGAGGCGGATAGAGTATACTATATAGGCCGGAAAGCCCTTATAGACCTCCGGCGATCTAGTATAGAAGGGATACCCTACCGATCGAGGACGTTCTAAATTAAGAGGGTTCCTAAGAGAACCGGTTATCGGCTACTACCTAAGAGGAGACAGTACCGGTAGTAGGGAGTAGACAATAGAATAGCTTATATATATAGCGAGGGCCTTCCTCTAGGAAGGAAGGGTAGAGTTATTATACCGTAGATAGTAAGCTATATATTACTTATATCTTTTATACCTCGGACCTCTATTACGTATACTCTTACGCTTATAGAACTATTATATAATAACTCTCGTACCTTAACTATAAGGGAAAGGTCCGAACAATAGTAGGAGAATATTCTACTAGACAGAATTCTAGCAACTCGCTAGCCTCTAGGGAACCTTTCTATACTAGAATAGGCCTCTACTAAATAATCTTCTTCTATAGATATCGAAGCGGGACGAGTTTAGGAACTACTCGACTAGGAGGAGTCTATAGAAGCTCTCGCTAGTATCTAGCTAGAAGACGTAGACGATTCTAAGCCGGAAATTACTATCGAACGTAAGGAGCTAAGCGACCTTTAGAAAGATATCGCCTACCTATAGGCGGAAAAGGAACGTCTACTACTAATCTAAGAAGTAGCCGACCTCTAGAGTAGCTAAGGCTATAAGCGATATACTATAGAAACTAATATTGCCCCTCCTTCTAAACGCTTAGTAAAAGCCTTTAGCGAATACGAGGGAAGGTCCTTAAAGGAATACGGCGACTTTGTAATATTGTACGAAGTCGTATTCCTCTAGAATCCGCGATCCTTCTAATAGGAAGCCGAGAGGTATACCTAGATAATACAATACCTCGCTAAGAGGTATACTCTAAGGGATCGCTAGTATATATACTAGTAGCGGATAACCGAAGCCGAACGAGAGGATACGACCTAGAACTACTTTAAGTAGTTCCTACTTAATCTTCTAGACGATCCTAACGCTCGATTGCTTTAGACGTATCTAGACTATACGTCCGCTAAACAATATACTAACTAGTCCCTAAGGGAGTTTCTAATATATCTAGAGACTCTCGAGGTATAGCTTAAACGATATACTCTAGAGTAGTAGTTATATTAGTTCTTCGTCCGGCTATACCCGGAGACCTACTATCGGATCGTCGATTATAATTCTATCTCTAAAATATAGGACGAGTTAGTTAACCTAGCGTCCTAGCGACCTAGATCGAAAAGAACTATCCGAGGACCTAAGGTAGTAAAGGGTAGACTAGTAGTAATAAGCTAAAATCTAAAGATCGAGATCGCCGGAGAGACGCTAGAGAACTACGTACTAACTTAGCCGAAACCCCGAAATCGGACGTAGCCGTAATTTGTAAAAGCTACCTTAGACAAAGGGGACTACTCGGGACTAAAGTACTATAAGTATAGTAAGATAGGATATATCTATCTAGACTACCTATTAAAGCGTAGTAATCCTAACTAGACCTCTATCTAGATTCTAGCTAAAAAACTAATTAGGCTCGTTACGAATACTTAGGACGCGATAGAGCCCTAACCTATTAAATCTAGAGATATTATCGAAATAGTAGGAACTATTCTTACTACTAAAGGTATAAAGCCTATACGGGTCGCCCTCGATATATACGCCTAGGTAACTACAATTAGCTAGAAGGTAGTAGTAGAAATAGGCCTAGCCCGAATCGAGGCCTAACTTCCGTTACTTAGATAGTATTACTATAAAGCCCTCTCTACTACTACCGTCCTCGGGTAGACGATCGGATAGGCCCGGCTTACGGTAGATCGCGGCGTAGCTCCGTAGTAAAAGGGGTAGAATAGGTAGAGGTCCGGAAGGACGCGGGAATGCCCGTAGGTAGTAGGAAAGGTAATATTAGAAGACAAAGCGTACTATAGGGTAACGACATCAATTATAGTAGAGTAGGTATCCGTACGTCTACGTCCTAATTATGTCTATCCTATCCTCCGTTATAAAAAAGAAGAAAAGTACCCTATATAGCTATCCGCCGGGAGTAGTACGGCCCTCCCGGGCCGTCCGGCTCTCGGCTCTACCCTAACGCCCTATATAAAAGAAATACGCCTAGCCGCTTAATATACCCTCCCCTACCTATATATCTATCCTATAGATATAGGTATAACAAAACCCCCCCTCCCCTATCTAACGATTATATATAGAAAAGTAGACCTAAACGACTCGTCGAAAACAAGGTACCTAACTATAAAAACCTAAACCCTCTCTATATCCGGAAGCTCCCGGTTAGGCCCTAGAGGCCTAACTAACGTACTACCTATTCTATCTAGGATACGTCGCTCTTAAGTATAGTACCGGAGCCTTCCTCTATATACTTAGAGTCGAGAGTAGAAAAATCAGGCTACGGTCGAGACTTAAAGTTACTCTTATAGTAGAAATAACTAGCGTTTCCGAAGAGTACTATTTCAGAATAGCGAATATTATCGAAAGCCTTCTTATACCTCTTAATAGCGTTCTCCTACTATTTGAGCTTATACGCCTCCTACTTAGCAAGAGATTCTATATAAGCAATATAGTTCAACTCGTTAATAACTTCTATATCGGCCTAAGATTTACGACTAACTAGAGCGTCTAAGATTAGGCTAAGGCTATCTAACTAGGCTATAGTAGGAAAGCGGTACGGAATTGGACTATATATATTAGGGTAGCCCGACGTAGGCCTCGTTATAGGTTAGGTTAGGTATAGGTTAGGTACAACCTAACTTAAATACCTAACCCTACAAATAAGCTAGGTACCTAGCTTATAAGCGGGGTACAACCTAACGGTAAAAACCTAGTAGGTATATCTAATAGGTATTGCAATAGGTATTATATAATACGAGTTGAATACCTACAAAATAGTAGAAAGAAATATTAATAAGGCATATATACCTACTACCTAATTCCTAGAGCGTAGAATTTAATAGGAATATATTCTATATTTATTGCAGCTACCGACTATATATACCGACTATATATACTAATTAAAAAGGGATTACTAGAAGAATAAGGAAAGCTCTAACTAATTGATTATAGTTATAAGCTACTATATACTAAGGATAGAAACTACCTTAGTTCTTAGTAAGTAGCTAAGTATTTAGAGTAGCTTGCTCCTTTACTTACTGCTTTAAGGCCTCTACCTTAGCGTCTTGTATCTTTTGATAAGCGCAAAGTTAATCCTCGAAATTCAGCCGCTACTAACGATAAAACTAACGCGCAATTTTCTTTGCGTCTCCCTCGAGAGTTTCCTAAGCAAAGCGTAAGCTATCTTCTAAACGCTCTTTCGCAATAGTAAGCGCGTAAGCTACTGCTACTAGCTTATTAGTATAGGCTTCTAGCCTCTGCTTAAGAGTTTGCTTATTATCGCTAGAATTATTATCTAGCTCTTCTTAATTATAACTAGCTTAAAAGTCTCGACCTTAGACATCTTAATCTCGGATATCTTGATCTTGCTTATCTTACTCCTACTTATCTTTATCCTGCTTATTATCGTCCTACTTATTATCTAGGAGTAGCGGAGTATTATCCTAAGCTATTAAATTAATATATTATAATTAATAATAAAAGAGTAACTTACTAAGAGTTGCCTGCTAAGTAGTAGTATCCTCGCTATTATTGTTATCTATAGTCGGATTCTAAGTAGCGTCTAGTATATCCTCGTTAGAATCGTCTTTAACGATTCGTCGAGGCTGCTTAGTTAGGAGAGGCTTACATTTTAGCGTAGCCTTTGCTTTCAGCGCCTTAGTAGCCTTATTCTTCTTTAGCTCTATATAGATAAAATTAGGATTAACAGGACTAGAATTGTAAGGGTACCGGTAGACTACGAAATCGTTAGGCTAAACACCCTACTCCTTAAGAAGCGAGCGAAGACACTCTATATCTTTGCCTTAGAGTATAACGCGCTTAGCGTAGATAGCTAAAAGGTTGGCCGCTAATAGAGGTAAGTAAGTAAGTAAGTAAGTAAGTAATTAATTAGAAGGAATAAGAAATAGGAAGACTTATAGGTAAAGATTCTTACTAAGAGAGACTTAGTATATTCTTAAAGAATACTAAGAGCGCTTGCTTGAATACGAAGAGGTG